AAAAAAAAAAAAAAGCAGGAACAGAGAGGATCCCGGTACCATCAAGAAAGAACAGTGACCAGCAAGCGAGTTGGAGAGCCCCATCTGAAGTGGTGGAGGCAGCAGAGGACTCATGGAAGATCATGAGACAGAGCAAATGAGTCATGCCAAGGCAGAGAAGCGACACTAAGACCAAGCAGCTGGGGGGGCTTCCTGAACCACAGAGACAGAGGCTGAGGGACCACGTCCCTGAGAGGGTAAGGACCGGAGGGAGACTTGCCTGCTGGCTGAGGAGAGATGTTGCTGTGCACCAAGGACTATATGAGTTTTCTTATCCTGACTTGTGGTAACCTGTTAACTTCCCTAATAAAACAGCATAATCATGAGTGTTGTCTGTGAGTTCAGTGTGGCCATTGCGATAAATCATCCAACCCAGCCAGAGAAGTAGCATGCCATGGGAGGGATGCTTAGTGTCAGAGAAGGGTAAATGAAGGATGGAGGATGGAGGCATGTCTGGCCTCTGCCTTGTGGTGATAGGCCTTGGAATTGGATTATACTTATGCTTTGTGTAGTCAGAGGAGGGTAGATGTAGCAGCAATTCCATTTCTTCACTTCATGATAGGGATACAAGAGAAGTCAGATCCTCATATTTCAGGCACAAAGATTCAGGAAATAAGAAGGATGTGTGCATTTTGCTTCTAATCAAGTCTATGTTCCTCCAGACGATTCATTTTGAAGAGTTGTGGGAAGATGAAATAATGGGTTGTTTGTGAGTAAGCAAAGAACAATATGGGGAAGAGAGACTGGCTGGTCAAAGATACCTGCGAGTTGATGGTCTTGTGATCATTTAGATAAAAGTATGTGTGGGTATTGGTTTGCTGTTCTCTTATGAGAAACGAGATATTTAATTCTGATTATAGCATTTAGATGAGAGCCTTAGGAAGTTGAAGTGAGGAATGATGGAGTTATGGAGAGTGGTGTTGTCCCTAGAAATACTATGAGCTTTGTAGTCTCCTGAGCCATCCTGCCATAGACATGGCTGAGACCACCTGAACAATGCAAATTGCTCCCTGAACGGTTTCTCTGCCCCCCACATTGCCCCTCTCCTTGTTCCTGTGAGAGTACTCGTGTTTCCACAAAGCCTAATTCACCTTATTGTTTAGACCATTTCCTACAGAACTAAATCCAGATGTTTTCTATGGGACACAAGTCACTGATTCGGAAGTCCTATCACTAAACTCCGGCCAACTGGACTACTACTTGCAGATTGCCTAACAGCTCACCTTGTTTCACAACCCAATGTCTTGACTCACACAGCCTTATCTACCCAGAATACATTTCACATCTGTCTGTGTCAGCTAGGAATCCTCTGGCAATCAATAACAGAAAATCAACCAGCAGTCGCTTAAACAAATAAGCAAGACATCTGTAGGTTGGTATTCCAAGGTCGACACCGTTGCCCCACACTGCTGGCAGGAACCACAGCCCTTTCTGTCTCTTGACTTTGCTCAGCATGCAAACCTCCATTCTCCTGCTCTTTGCTTTTTTTTTTTTTCTTAAGATGTCCATGGAAACCAAGCATCACATCAATTTTCCAAGCAAAAAAAGACATTCACTGGTAGGTCCATTTTCTTTCAAGAAAGTATTTCCTGTAAGTCCCATTTAGTAGTTTTCCACTTATATCGCACTGCCCCAATGATACTAAATAGACACAAGTTTAAAGGTCGCTAGCAGGAAGGTGCGCTGAGGGGAAGGAGCATGAATTCAGCCAGTGAACAGTGTCTGCCATAGTTGGCTTGGAAAATACCTTCTCTAGTTTTGAGATTCAGCTCAAATATTAAATCATAGAAATTCAAATATGTAAACATATATTGGCATATGTATTGTTCTTTTACCATTAAATGAAATGTCTAGTCTATACACTAAGCATGAGGGATATATATTCCAGATACTGTTCTAGGTTGAATCCTTGGGGGTACAAACAGCAAGTGTTCAGCTGTGCATACAAATGCACACACACATTTTTCACTCACCAAAGAAAAATTCACCCTGTGACATATTCCCAATCTTGCTCCATTTTCCAAATAAACTGCATAGACTTAAAATATAAAATACAAATAGTTTGTTTGGAAGAATATCTTTTCCTAATTTACATGTGCAGAATTACCTCCCACACAGAAAACAAAAGATACCTTAAAGTAAAAACAACAGTCCAAGCAATTACGCTGAACATCACTAGTAAAAGTGAAAAAAAGAAAAATGTTCATGGTCCCCAACTACCAGACTGGTGCGGGAAAACAGGTGTTCTCGGATCTTGCTGGGGAAAACTTAAATTGGCAGATATTTTAGAAGCAATATGACATCATCTATAAAATGTTTTTAATGTGTCTCCTTGACTTAGCAACTTCACAAGACAGATCGATCCGACCAAATATTTCTACATGCCCTAAAGTAGGGACCTGTAAGGAAGGTCATTGAATTGTATCACTTGTAACAAATGGTTTTAGTCGAGGTGTAGCACAAGCTAGCATCTGTTAAAACTGAATATATGTAGTGATCTGTCCTCTTAAGAAATCTGCAGGAGAATGTGTTATGCTTTTAACTTTGTTCATTCAGATATGGAGGAGGAAGGGAGGGGGAGGGGAAAAAAGGAAAATGAGCTGATTTTTTTTTAATTGATAAGTGAGAAGGCACGAATTAGACACACTTATCTTTAAGAACAACATCTCTAGGTAAGTGTTTCTCTAACTCCAGGTTTTGCCCCACCTACTTCATGTAAAGACCAAGTGAACACACGCTGTCTAGTCCAAGGAAAATGGTTGTGTCATTCCTGAGTGTCTCCCTTTGAAGATGGTTTAATGTGTAACCAGCTGAAATGTCCTCCTTGATCAGGAACTGCTGGTCGTTGGAAAGCCCTCTCTTTTTAGGCAAAGTGAGCTAAGTGTACAAAGAGAGTTCCATATAGTCCCTGGAAGTACAGTCCCCACAGCAATACAGTACAAGGGGAGAAAGGACGTTTTTTTCTGTTTGCTTTTCTTAGGGCCTGTCTACTGCCTAATCTTGTTTCTCATTTCCAAAACACTCCTCCTTTGTTTTTCTTAATGTTGTGTTTTCCTGTGTTTTGTTCTCTGCTTTCTTTCACGTGCCCTGCTTATCTTTCCCCCCCTAATACATGGTTCTCAAACCCTCTTCATAGCAGTAGCAAAATGACAATGATGAAGTAGCAAGGAAAATAATTCTATGGTTGGGGGTCACCACCACATGAGGAACTGTATGAAAGGGTCCTGGCATCAGGAAGGTGGAGAACCGCTGCGGACGAATGTCTTTTCTTGCTTGCCCCTCCCGCCCCCAGCTTTGTGCCTCAATCAGGCGCTGACGACAGCTGAGCTGTGTAGAACTTGCCAACATGTATCCTCCCTTGCCTGTCAAGCAACTGTTCCTCAGGTAACCCAGCTTGCTTATTTCCTGGAAATGCTGAGCGATGGTGTCCCTGTACGCAAAACAAAACAGATATGAAATAGCCTCTTTGGTCATTAAGATTCGAGACATAAAGATTATCTTTTACTTCTGTACTAAGGTTTACAATGTCAAATGTTCTGACACATATAGCATCTTGATTAAAAACGGCTCCATGAAGCTGATAGCACAGATATTATTACCAAAAGCCAAAAGGGAAAAAAAAAATCGTTGCCATTGAGTTGATAGACCTGTGGTAACTCCGTGAGCTTTAAGAGTTCAAACCACCATACCAGAGTGGATTACCCAGTTAGCAAGGTAAACATGAACTCACTTGGAATTATTACTAACCTGTAGTAAACAATTCCACATCAAGATGTGGTGAAAAGGTGAAAGTGTTCACTACAGACGGGTTAAGTAAGCACATGAAAACGTGTGCCTACTTAGCTTACTAAGTTCCATCCCTGTGTGGCTTTGTAAATTTGAAGAGAAGCTTTGATTCTGTTGGAAGCTGCTGTGGGATTGGGAGAAAATCAAATGTCTGCCTTACCTAACCAGTAGCAGCATCTTTGCTGTAGTGGGGGTGGGGGGGAGCGGGGGGATGTGAAATTATACACTACAGACTAATATGGAATCACAACTAAGCAAACGCTTACCTTGTTTATTGGATAATCTCACAGTGCCACCAGTAGAGCAGTAAATAGGCAGGCACCTAACTCTCTGTGCTGTTCTGAGTCCAGTAGATGTTATTACTCTCACACCTACTAGAGTGGAAGATGAGGCTCAGATGTGAACTGAGCTACTCAGAACCATATTGCTGAGACAGAATGATGACTCAGGTGTCCTGCCAACTAACCAAGTCATTTTTCTCCCTCAAACTCATTGTTTTTTCTCCCTGAGAAGGGAAAGTTTTGATTTCAAGAGCATGTGGGGCAAAATATTCTGGTCTCAAAATTAAAAGTTTCGAAAGCATTATCTAAAGAAACATTTTTGCCAAAACGTCCTCTTTCTCTCGTATTACACTGACAGCAGGGTCACTCTCCTGAGGATAATTCCACCATCTGTCACCTTAATCCATCCCCTTCCCAGACTCCCGCTTCAGATGGTCATTTCTCCCTCCACAAAGGTCAGCTTTTGCTTTGTCTCCCACTCAACGTTTATGGATGCTACATTTAACTAAAACTCGTCCGAGTCTCGTTGTTTGAAGACATTTCCCCTTCTCGGAGACATCTTTGCCACGAACGCAAATCATTCTCATCCACTTCAGGTAAACTGGGAAACGGATCGTCTCCCCGTTAATCTCATTTCTTAACCGGTAGCTCTACACAGCCACGGAAACAGCTGGGTTCCGGCGCTTAGCTGTAATTGGCCTGTCACTGAGAGCAATGACCCTTCCAGAAAATGTTTAGAGACTTCAACTTTGTTTACAGACCTTGTGTGGGTGGAACTTCCTGTTTGCCCAGAGCTTGTAGCATAAAGCCCAGTTGCTCGGACGGACGTGCTTTGGGGACTAGTCTGAGTGCAGGAAGGAGGGGACTATCAGGCTCCCTGGGTCCAATCTCCCTGCAGCATGGAAAAGAACAAACTTCATCCGAGCCTGATTCTGCTCCTCGTGGTCCTCCTGCCCAAAGTCTCTGGAAACCCGTGAGTTCCACACCCAGCTTAAATTTTACGAATCTTTTCTTTTATTTTAGATTTCCCTTTTACATCATTTGTCTTTCCTATGAAATTGCTGCCTTCTTTACACTAATGTCCCGTCCAACCTGGAGGGCTTGTAACTCCAAGTTAATCGTTTTGCTCTTATTCTTAACCATTTCTCTTTGACTCTCTGGATCTCTAAATTTCTTCTAACTTCTTTTTAGCTTTATTAGAAATTGTTACTTTTAGAGGAATGCATTTCTAGAGCTTCATTATATACATATATGAATAGAGTTCACAGGAATATGTGTACTTATATGTATTCTGTTGATGTGCTTCACACTATCCTGTTTCCTCTTTCTCACTTGCCTGCCTTCCTGGATAACAGAAAGGCCAGCCTCGCCTTCTATCAGCTGTTACCAGGAGCACAGCCTGGGGGCAAGGAGCGCCTCTAGTGGGGCCATCGAGTACAATTTGAAGTACTAATGTTGATGAAGGGAAGGTGAAAGATTCTGATAATGGAAGAAAAAGTACTTTTTCAGGTCGGGTGGTGAGAGATTCTGTGTTCCAACCAAGTTAAAGACCTGAAGGATATATCACTTCATGGATTATGAAAAATAATTCTTAAATGTGGGTCATAGGGTGATTTTAGGCCTGTAATGCAGAAGGAATTGCAAGGTGTGGGTGACAACACTACATCTGTTTTGCCTGTTATTTATATACTTGTGTTTGTGAACACGATTGCTGAAGAAAATGTGAACATAAACAAATGTGAAGAGAGCTGATGGTGCCCAGCTACCAAAAGATATAGTGTCTGGGGTCTTAAAGGATTGAAGACAAACAAGCGGCCATCTAGCTGAGAAGCATCAAAGCCCACATGGAAGAAGCACACCAGCTTGTCTGACCACGAGGTGTAGAAGGGACCAGTTATCAGGCATCAAAGAACTGAAAATCATATCAGTGGGTGTCCGCTTTACTGACACAATCACTGAAGACAACTGTGTGCATAGCAAATGTGGTGAAGAGCACTAACAGTGCCTGGCTATCAAAAGATATAGCATCTGGGGTCTCAAAGGCTTGAAGATAAACAAGCAGCCAACTAGCTCAGAAGCAACAAAGCCCACATGGAAGAAGCACACTAGCCTGTGTGACCACAAGCTGTTGAAGGGATCAGGTATCAAGCATCAAA